CAACAGCTTTGTCATCTTTGACTTACAGGGGTTGCTGGCCTCCTCTCTTGCATATCTTTGATGGGTTTTTCTCCCTTTGGGGTCTGACCTCTTGAGCTAATATTAAAATCCTCATTAAGTCCTGGCCATTCATTGCTTGACACTCCAGCCTGGATTTGCTAAAGGAAATTGCTTGACTGCTGACAGACAACTCCACAAAGGCTGCTCAGCCCTTCCTGAGCAACTTTCCTGAAGGAGCTCTGTTTTCTCTCCCCCAGCACCACGCTGGCCTCTAAGCCCCTCCCAGGCCCTTCACTCTCTACACTCAGGACCTAGTCCTGCTCTTCCTGAAATAACAGAGGCTTTCTCAAACATGCATTTTCCTATTACATCTATTTCTATACTTTGCTCTACACACACCCATTATTTTCCTTTTGTCTCAAATGTAGTTTTTAAGGTTAAATCTTTCAGTGGTGAAGCTAGTTTGCACTCTTCCCTTTGGGTAACATTGCTACCCCAAATATACCTCCTTCTCCATCTTCAATCGCTTCCTCTCTTGGGTCAACCGGATGTCCACGGCCATCCTAAGGTACTGAGGGTAAGGCAGCCAGCCGCCCTGTGCCCCGGTCCACCAGCCGTTGTTTCTTCCTCCCGATTCACAAAATTCCAACCGATATTCATCTTTCACTCCCAGTAATCTGTCTCCAGCTCCATCTTTGTGGAAACAGTTCTTACAAAGGGCTCCTGGGATCTCTCGACTGCTTTAAGGCATGGGGTCTGTGAATCCAGTCATAGCTAACACAGTGGTCCAGCCAGGGAGTCGAGCTCTGTAGTTGAAGAGCTTAATTATCACTCTGATTAGCAATTACTCAGGGCAGTGTACACTCATTCTACTCTCTCCTACATTCTATACTACTCACTCTACGCTCTACTACAAGGCATACAACACCTTTTGTGTGTGTGTATTGAATTGGCTGTTAGGAATCAGAAATGCTGCTGGCAATGTGCGTGAACAAGTTTGGCATGTGCATGTCATTTCTCTTGGCCACATGCTTAGGAAGAGAATTTCTGGGCCATGTGCTAAGTTTGTGCTTTTTTTTTTTTTTTGGTGCTCATATTGAGACCAAAACTAAGCCTCCAGCTCTTGCTTGGATTTTTTTTTTTTTTTTCAGAATTGGTGCTCTACCACTTGAGCTACATTTACACTTCTAGCTTTTTGGTGGTTAATCAGAGATCAGAGTCTCACAGACTTTTCTTCTTGACTGGCTTCAAATCAAGATTCTCAGATTTCAGCTTCCTGTGTAGATAGGATGACAGGAGCAAACCACCCGTGCCCAGAACAACTACCACTCTTCACATAGTGAGCTTTTTGGTATAACTGTCTCCCCACACTCCATACATCCCCTGAAACAGGAGGAATTCCAAGTAAAACAACTTCACCATAAATGATGAACAACAGCCTTACGAGGAACGCTATGCTTTATTATTGTTGGTTGAATCCTGGAGGAGGAAGACCAAAACTGTCATGGGAAGTACAGTGTCAAGTCACAGAGGGAGTTCCTGATAAAAGCTTAGACATGGAGGCCTCTGCATAATGAAGCATTAAGCTGGCAGTGGATGTAGTTGGCAGTCACATTTTAGTTGGTTCCTATGGAGACATTGGCTTTTTAGACTCTTTTGCAACATCAGTACATGTGAGATGGTGTCCTTCACCAGCTAAGCTTGCTTAACCAGGATGGTTCACCAGCCAAGCCAAGTTTCAGCTTCCTCCTTCAATGAAGCCTGGTGCATGGGCTACCTGTCTGGCTTCTAAAGGCATTTGACTAGCAAACTGGCAGTGTTGTTTCGATCTTTCAAGGAATGCCAACAACAAAAGTAATCCTATTCATGGCAGAAAAACCCTTCTGAAGTCAGAAAGAATTAAAACATTTATTGGGCATAAATATATTACATATACACTACAGATAGTTAGGTATTACTTATAGCATAGTATTTGCAAAAATCTATACATTAAAAATCGATATGGCAGTTTTAATACAATGTATATGAAATAGTCTAAAATTTACAATACAAGAAAACATATGATTATTTCTCTCCTAGAGTTGAAAAGCTTGGAATGTATGTCCAACAGTGAGGTAAAAACATTTTTTTTTTGTCTTTCAATTTAAAGAATTGTGCAAGGATAACATTCAAACACATTCAATTAGGGCACTTTTCAATTTTGACATGAATACTGAATTACCATGGTCAAAAAAAACAAGGTTAGAAAATGCCAACATTTCAAGTGGAAAAGAACAAGGCAGATCATATGAAAACATCTCTTTTTTTTTTTTAAAGTGTGTTTTTAAGAAAATCTTTTTTTTTTTTTTTTTTTTTTGAGACCAGACGGCAGTTTGTGCCATAGGACTGGTTGGAATTCCTTGTGTCAGGGATGAGTTTGACATACAGAGAAGCAGAGTTACCTATCAGGAAGCAGCTCACTCAATGTATAATGGCAGAAGGGCAAAAAGATAAGGTTTTACTATAATACTTTATCATTTGTGTGTAATGAAATATAGAGCATTATATATCCATATCACATAGGCAGATTTAGGATAGAAAATAGTGCCATAGAGAGTGTGGTAATTTTCTGATTGAAAGGAATATACTGAATACCAGAAAATAGAAAGCAATAAATAAAGTGCAATCAGCTTGGATTTCACATACTTCAGCTTTCTGGTGGGATGAAGAGAGTGGATGAAAATCTCAGAAAGATCAAATGAATGTCTGAAGCAATTGTGACCTAAAGTATTATTTCCTTTAAATTTTTTTGACTGATTCAGAGAATTTCCTGATAGCAGCAGTTCTGAAGTGTTTCAAGAAAGCATTTCTTCCTCTGCAAAAATGACTGCACTGAATTTTCATAGGTTAAAAAAGAAAAAAAAAGCCATTTCCTCTAAACCACCTGCAATCAAATTGAATCTGAAATGTAGACACAATGTCAGAGCAGGTTAAATCACACATTTAGATGGAGAATGGGTCTTCAAAGGCCAGAACTTTGGCAAAAATTTATTTACCTTGATGGTATCTATTTGCCAGGCTAATTACACTAATTACAGTCAAGAACAAATACAGAATGTTCGTTCTAGTAGTTACTACATCAATATAGGCACAAAGAATTAAATTCATGGATTGTAGCACTCTTTCAAGAGATGATTATGGTTTTTCTGGGTACATGTAAACCTTTCAATCACTGATAATAGATTGTTTTTGTTTTTGGCATTCAATGCACTAAATGCTCTTCTTATTAAAAACACAAGAAAACGTCAGAAGGTTAATACTAGTATAGATGTTGTTGCCAAGAAATGAGACTGACCTAAAATTACAAAAGTAGAAAACACACAAAAATAACATGCTACAAGGGAGAATTAGTATATAAGTACATTTTTAAAAAATTTTATTTTTACAATAAATAAAGATTGCACTGTAATTGGCATTTAAAGTACTGTATGCAGAATATAGTATAAATAAACCAAAAACAAATAATGGTGTTTCCCCCATGACTTTGGTATGGGAATATTATAAGCTAGTTCAGGATACTTACTGCATCTTAGACAAAACATAGACCAAGCACAAAATAGCAATGATCAAAACAAAAACAAAAACAGAAACCCCCAAACAAAACAAAAACCCAAATCCAAACAAACAAAAAAGAAAACCAAGTAGCAAAAATATACAAAAAAAAAAAAAAAACCTAGAGCAGGAGAGTGGGGGGGTAGGGTGGGGGGTATTCTGTGCCTGTTGCACCCTTTTGGAATACATTTGCACCTCCAATTCCTTAAGTGTCCCTGAGGTACTTGAACATTATGGACTTCATATAAACAATTCAATGACTTTGGGTTAAAATCGATTATCTCATGACTCAAAAACATAAACATGTAAGAGAAACACTGTGCACTCCGATAGCACCTGCCGATCAAGGATCTCAAAGCACTTCAACAAGCATAAGAACCTCCATTTTCTTTTCTTTTCAAGCATGGAAAAACCGAGGCACAGAGAGGTAAAGTGACGTGTTCAGATCACACAGCAAGTTAGTGACAGATCCAGGGAGAGCATCTAGGCCTCCCGATCCCCTCCCACCCATGCTGGTCACCAAATCTCATTCTTGGTCCACCCACAGAAATAAGAGCTACAGATTCAGGTGATTTCCCCTTTGGGTTGTTTTTTAAATCATTTCTTCACCTGCTGTTACACTAGTATGATGGGCACTGAATTAAGGTATTGAAATTCAATCACTTCATTGATACCTCAAAGAACAGCCAGAAGGCAAATCTTTCCAAATCATGAGATGACACGTACAAAGACTGCTCAAAATTAGTGTAAGTCACAGACAAATGGGCAGAGGCACTAACCCGTCACCAACTGTCATTGTAGCGTTGTGGTCAAACGTAACAGAATATAATAACTCTAGTGATTAGATTAGAAAAGTAGTTATATACAAAGACAAACACACAAGTTAAAGCAGCTTTTCAAATAGCTGAATAAAGAAAACAACTATCTATTGCACAATGCCCTCTTAAAGTTACTGCTATGAATCGGTGTGGTCAAATCTACACAATGCGCCGTAATTTATTGGTGCATTTTGATTACTTCAGCTCATAGAGTGTTAAATCAGAAGAACTACAGATTATTAAAACATTTCCGATTAAAATACACATTTTGAATTAAACGACCTAAACACAGTTACAAAACTGAGTGGCAATGACGGCTCGGGCAGCTGTATGTGAGTGCACACGCTTGTGTATGTGTTGCTGTATGAGTAACTCTGACAGTGCTGACAACCTAGTCCTCTTAAGCACACATGCTGTGATTCTGTTTACAGATATAGATGATCAAGATAAAGAAGTGACGGGTGACTATAAATTACTAAATTGAAACATTAAAAGAAAAAAAATCAAAGTCTTGCCAAAGACATCAGTGAAAAACAGAAATCAAAACAAATTTGAAAACTCAAAAAGAAAACATAAGAAAGCGTTTGGTATCTGGTTTGCTTTTCTTCCTCTTCTTCTTCTTTTTAATTAAAAAAGAAAAAAAAAATCCAGTTTAACCTCTTCCTAGTTTTGCATTTCAAAAAGGTGCACCAAGACACTGACATTTTTTTCCCTAGCTAAATCTGTAAAACAAGAGAAGTATATAAATCAAAGAACAAAAGGGCTTTTTAAAAAAGGGGGTGGGGTATCTGAATAAATGTGTGTATTAAAATGTGTAGCACTAAGTAAATTCATATGAGTTGTTTACTTCATTAAGAAGTACTGTAATATAAAGGCAAATAAAATAGACAGAGTCGCGAAGCCAAGCATGATGAGGGCAGCAAACTGTTCATCAGTAGGCATCATGGTCTTCATTCTGGGGTCATCTAAGCTCCCCATGTCCCCGGAGAGCATGACCTCACTTCGTTGTAGGGTGAAAGCCGCAGAGGGGCTGAAGGTTCCGTTGAGCTCCTGTGCGGTGTCCAGGCAGCGACGGCACGCGCACACGCGGAACCTGTACTCCGTGTTGGTCTGGAGGCCTGAGATCTGGAATGTGGCATCTTCTCCCTTGTATACCTTTAAGAAAAAGGATGCCATCATCAATGAACTCACAACACTGTGGTCTCTAGGCAATCATCAGAGCCTTGGTGTAAGTTCAATCCATAATGGCAAAAATGATATAAAAAAAGTTCTCATCCAAGCCGGGCACAGGTGTCTCATGCTTATCATCCTGGCTACTCAGGAGGCTGAGATGTGAGGATCTGAGGATTAAAGCAAGCCCCTGGCATTGAAGTCCATGAGACTCGTGTGTGCAATTACCCACCAAATGGCAGAAGTGGACCTGCGGCTCAAGTTGCAGAGTGAGTGCCAGTCTTGAGTAAAAAAGCTAAAGGACAGCACTAGGACCTGAGCTGTGCACGTGTGCGTGTGCACTTACACACACACACTATACACACAAACACACAGAGACATACACATACACAGTTTTGTGGAGACAAATGAACCTTATTAAATTTATTGCTCTTTAATTCTCTTCACGTAATTACCAATTAATTATCAACTCAGGAAATTCTAACAAACAGAATATTCTGTATGAGACCCCATTCCTAACTCACAGAGAAGTTCATCACCCACATGGCCCACGGGCAGTGACATGCCCCACATTCCATCACCCATCCCATGACATCATCGAAAGATGACAATGTGACACACGGAGCCTTTGACTCTGCCTTGCGAAACATGTGCCACTTCCACTCCCATGTTGGTGTCTCTGTTAAAGACCTTTCGGCTCCCCGAGCCTGGGTCCAGCTTCCCACATGGACGGCTCTGCCTTTCCCTCCAAACACTATGGGAAGTTCTCCACCTCAGCCTCTCCTATGCCAAGACGGAGGCCACGTCTGTATGATGTGGCCTCTTCATTTCTGCAAAGGATGACCTCACGGTTGAAATCCACTTGATAACTGATCCTGTGGAAGTTTTAGAGGCTTCTGGAAAGTGCATAGAAAGATATTGATATCTATTTAAGTGCTCTCTACAGCTTCCAGAATTTCATGGCCACATCTTTTTATATTCCCACCCCCCCCCAAGACTGGACTAGAACTCAGTACCTGATACTTTGGCTCATTGGCTGGTGCTCTACAATTGAGCCATGGTCCCAAACCCAGTGGCTACATCTTTATAGGAAAGGTGGCTCAAAAGTAGGTATGAATTCCTAGAAACTGCAGTTAGAGAATCTTGCAAAGAGACATCATATGTTTCCATGGAACTTCTTGACCCTAACTAACTGCTCTAAGCACGGGTGAGAATGTCCAGTCTAGGGGCCATGTAAGGCCCTCAAAATCATTTGGTACATAGCTGTAAGGAGGTGGTTTGAGGCTAGCTTGGGACAAAAAGTTCCCAATACCCCATCTCAACCAATAAAAGCTGTGTGTGGTGGTATGTAGCTGTCTTTCCAACTATGCAGGAAGTGCAAATGGGATCGCGGTCCAGGTTAGGCAAGGCATAACTGTAAGGGCCTATCTGAAAAAGGTAACTAAAGCCAAAGTAAGTAGTCACGCCGGAGTCATGGCACAGGTGGTAGAAAGTGCCTGGCAAGCACCAGTACTGTCATAAAACCAACCCACCAACCAACAAAAAGGCTGCATGAAATATCTTCACTTTTAGCAATTTAAGGTAGAAAAATACATGAAGGATTTTCAGGTTCAAAGACAATAAGGAAAATGGGCCTTAAAATACAAGACAATGCCCATGTCCATTAAAAAAATTAAACGTTTATAGAAGAAGCAAATTATTATTCCCCCTCCTTCACTTCTTCCTCTTTCTTCTTCTTATTTGTGCCTGAACTCAGGGCCTGGCAGCTGTCCCTTAGCTTTTTCATTCAAGGCTGGCACTCTACCACTTCTGGGTTTTTTTTTGGAGATAAGAGTTTCACAGATGTTCCTGACCAAGCCATGATCCTCACACCTCAGCCTCCTGAGTAGCTAGGATTTCAGGTATGAGCCACTGGCACCTCACTGCAAATTATATTTTATATAACTAAATGAAAATAAGCCATCTGCATTATTATAGTTGCAGAACTTTGCTCTTCATTTTAAACTTGTGGGTATTTAGAACAACAACAACGAGAATTTTTAAGTCCCAGATACTCTGCCGAACCCCAAATCATCAAGAATGAATTCAGCATCTCTCTAACATTTATGCATCAAAGTCACCATGTCTTTGGGGATGAAAAACAACTCCCTGAAACAAAGGTATCGGTGAGCCACCTAGGTTAGGGCGAAGATGGGAGGGTGTCTCTAATTCTCTAGAACTTGAGAATGACATTGCTATTGGACTGGGCTTCCTGCCAGCTCCCTGTGGTAGCCGGGAGGCAGCCAGGACCATCACCAGGGCCCATGATATAGGACATGCAGACACCCACTGGAGGAAATCATGAGGAGCCCAGGTCCTTCACTGCTCCTTGGAGACCAGCAGATGTGGGAGCCGATGCCGCTACAAGCCCAAGTCACGGAGGCTGGACTCTGCTGCTGGGCCTCCACCCAGTGATGCAGCCTGGCGGTGGGCAACTGGCATGCCTCATGTCCCTTCACTTTCTTCCATTTTGACAGAGGCAACATTATGGGTTTCTCCTCCTGCCTCAACTCAATTTCATACACGAAGCTCCAGATTTTCTTTACTGAAGTGACCAATCATCATGTTAAAGTATAAGGACAATTGCTGTTGATTTGAGGAGCAATATATTTGAAAGTAAATCTCATCATTTATTCCAGATGCCAATAAAGGAGAGTAAAACCCACATAACTGAGATAAAGAATCCATAAAGCTTAATTCAGGGTAACATGCTATGTAGTTGAAATCCTTTCAAGAGCAGCTTTTGGGGGAAGCAAGTATACACAGGTCTGTGCCTCTTTACGTAGCTCCACCCCCAAGTGCTGGATGGAAGCGGGAAGTTCACCTTCTTCTTCCACTCCTCCCATGGCTGTGGGTGAGCAGCAGGCCTATCATCTCTGCTTTTCTGGCAAGAGAGCCAAGGCTCAGCGAGGCGAATTGATTCCTCCAAACCACAAAGGGTAGGAGGCAGAGCGGGCCTCAGGCCACTGCTAGCTCACCTGCAGGCCTCTAGGGGGTGGTGTGAACGTGAGTCCGGAATGACCAACTGCCTTTCCTACCAGCACTCAGAGCCTATATCAGACATTCTTCACAAGAAAAGCCCCCAGTGCTGCTCAGTAAGCTAGGGGTCCCGACCTGAGCTTTGGGATCTGAAGACAAACTCATTTGATGTGAAATTTTAACTGGCTCATATGTGGGAAATTTTCTGACATAAAAGGTCATGGCCTGGGCTGGGAGGTGGCTCACTGGTAGAGCGCTTGCCTTGCATGCATGAGGCCCTGGGTTCGATTCCTCAGCACCACATAAGCAAAAAGAAAAAAGCCGGAAGTGGCGCTGTGGCTCAA